GCAGCCAGTGAAAAGCAGCCAACGCGCTGGGTAAGGGGGGGGGGTATTATTTTTCAAAAGCACCTGGCACTTTAATAAGCTGCTACACCCAGAGCATTCTGATAAACAGGGTTTAGCCCCCCCCCCCCCCCCCCCCAGCCCCCCCGGGCGGGTTGTGCAGCTGATCTGCACCCTGGAAGCGGAGCACAGACTCGGTAATTCGCCCGCCCGCTCCTCCGCTCTCCTTCTCTGTGAGCACAATTACGGGCAGTGTAACGCGGCCGGGTTAATTGTTATTGCTCGGCCACCTCCTGTTTTCAGTTCAGCCGCCTCCTGTTATTTGTCTGGCAGATGATTTCATTTTTGGTCAGCTGGTACTGACCGATCCATTTTTTTTATCCATCATATCCATAGCAGAGTTGAAAGGTTAATGTGGAATATTAACAGGCTCTGACCTGTTGTTTGCACGCTTACAAATAGGTATTACAGCACTGGAAATGCATCACTGTGGATGGCTGGATAGCCTCATTAGAAATGGGGACAAACTGAGAAATGGATCGCTATCGATCTGGTTACTGTTCAATATTGGTTAGAAACCGAAATGTGGACAATGTGCCTAATGGTAAATAATGAAGACGGCATGCTTTCAATGGTAATTGGTTTATTGGTTTGTACTCAATGAATGTCTTAGATTAATGTATTACTAATAGTGACGCCATCTTCACTTCCAATGCAATTCAGATTTGGTCAATTATAAAACAAACCTGTGATAAACAAAAGTGAAATGTAAGCTTTCAAGTGGGTTAAAATTAACAGTCATTATTCAACATTGTTTTGTTTGTTTTTTAAATAGAAAAGACATGTTTGATCATATTAGTCATAGATTTTACATTTCTTTTGGTAAAATGAATATTGAGTCATATTTTTCCACCCCTGCAACACTTATTAGCCAATACCAGTTTTATTTAACGACAGCATTACTCAAGATTCTACCCCTAAAACGTCTTTACATCCACATCTACCCCATATTCAACAGCTCTGACATCTAAAATATGATACCAATAGATAATGTGACGATGCACAACAGAAAACTTTAATAACAAAGAAAATAAAAAAACATTAGGGTGAGTTTACTATTAATCAGATCAGAGTTTTGCCGGATTAAGCTGAGATCCTCTGTTTGACGGAGGGGTCTGAGGTCACGCCGACACGTTTCTCATCAGACCAGAAACGGGGAGTTAATTGACTAAGTTGCATAATAATAACAGAAGATTAATTTGGCACTATGACAGAGGGTGGCCGTGTGGTGTAGAGTTAAGAAACTGCTTAGGCTTCAAATTACAAGACAGCAAATGACAAACGACAGCTCCTCAAAGCCCGGCGCGTTCTCCCACCAGCAAAACAGAGAGCTCTCAACTCATCATCCTTTATTTAATGCACTTGTTTGGCTGTTTCGTTCCGGCGTTTTAAGACACTTCAGGTTGACTAACTCTACCACGAGTATCAGTTGGAGTAAATGACTCAAATCGTCCGCAGTCAGCTGAACGCGTAAACTGGTGCGACTGCATTATGCTGAGCCCAGAGGAAGAGCTGCTCTATATTCCAGAGGCCCGGCAACGTGACTGCTCTGACTGCTGAGTGCACACACCACTTGTACAAACCTATTAGTAAAGGTCCAGTCAAGTTACCCATCCGCAGCCCACCGATCCACACACACACACACACACATCCAGCCCTGCTGCACAGAGCTAATTCCCACAATCCGCTGCTCAGTTGCTGGTAATTGAGGCAGAGCGAGGGGGTGGGGGGGGATCTGGAGGACAAAGTGACTTGCAGGGGAGGAACTTGTCTTGGTATCGGCCGTGGTGTTTAAGCCTTGGTTGGTATTTAGAGGCTGGAATGATTCAGCTTGTCATATCAAAGCTGAAGAATTTGCCTTGATGAAGCCAAAAACGGGTAAAAATATGAAAATACGGCTTTCCTAACGGAAGACACGAACATTTTTGTAGCGTTTTGCAAACTGAGAGGCGCCGCAACGGCTGGACAAAGAGGAATGTGCTTAATAAAGCCGGGGCAAATTGAATCCAAAGATGGATGTTTGGTGTTTGTGCCTAGAAAAGCTTTTGGAGATACATAATCAGTACCTGGAATACAACCCGGGCTGGAGATGGGCTCTCCTGTAGGCGAAGCTTCACCTGCATGAGCACATTAAGCCTAAGTGGTGACATTTGTTGAGGAGGTCTTTTATAGGTCAGGCCGAGGTGTTCACTCATGGAGCTAACACGAGTTCCCAGGTGTCAGAGGAAGGGAGGGGGAGCAATCATTCAAGCCATGGACTCCAAGGCAGCTCCATTACAGTAGGAGGCTGACAGTCTAGCCCACGGGCTTTTCGCTCTGCCCCGTGTTAATCCTTCCTCTGAACATTACAGCAAACCGGCTCCTCGTATCTGCCTCGTTACAGTGGGCTTTGTTTACCACGACGGGCTTCTGCTACCTGCTCGGACTATCTTCTAAGTTAAATAAAAGGGCTGATAGCATCCGCTTGCCTTTACAAACACAAAACACACTTTCTCTGACATTATCATTGATTTTTTAGAGATACCGACAGGCCCCTCCAGAGAGAAATATCTGCCTCTTTACTAGCCAAATGCTGCAATATACAGTTATAAGCCCGAACAATGAACAAAAAGCGAAAGGCTGTGTAATACTGTGGGTGGTGAGTTCTGCACATGCTCAATTAGCTCTGCCTGGTTCGATGCTTTGGGCTCCGTGAGCAGTTTTCGTGTGCATGTTCTTGTGCGGCATGTTGAAGACATTAGTTTTCCCAATGGAACATCACACTGCTACAGGATGATCAATGCTTTTCACTTGGCCTGTCAGTGGTTTTCGCTCCGTGGCTGACTGGCGTCCTCACGGCGTCGATGGAAACTTCATCCGCCCGCCGTTTGATGCTGGACAGACG